CCAATATAATAACCTGAGTAGCTAGGAAGCACGCTGATGATGCATTTGCAAGAAACTTGAAAAGAGTGAGCAGAACAAAAAGGATGTTGTGTGTACTTCTGAACATTACAGGGCATTTATTCAGGGTCAGGATCATGGTGGGTATTAACTCAATTATGAAAGGTGTACAAAAGATTCTTTAAATAATGGTTGATCTGGGGCCTGAAGTGAAGGCTATAAAAAGTCCTGGCCAAGGGTGAGAACCCATGCTTTGGCTTTTCAGTCTTCTAGTAGCTTCAAGGCTAAGTATGTCCATGTGTCTGTCCATACACGTCCACTGGCACCATGCTCCCTCTGTGGGTCAAGAGGATGTGTATGTTCTGAGGAAAAATACAAGAGATGACAATTCGTGATGGTACTTTCAGTTTCAATTTGCCCGTTGAGTCTTCTTTTTGGGATCTAATAGGATGACTAGACCCCAAACTGCAAGACTGATGCCGATCACCATCTGCGCAATCTGCCCGGGTCTTGGGGCATATCCCAGCTTCAAGAGCCTCTTCGCCGTCCAGTACACGTAGCCCCCCGCCCCGATCAGCCCTGTGCCCGAGAGCACGCGGCAGCTCCAGCAGTTAGTAACCGGGTCCTGCGTCGGGGAGGCGGGCGCTGCGATCTTCGGGGGCGCAGCAATTGGCACCTGGTCCAGAGGCTGGGACACGGTGGACCCCATGTTCTCGACCTCAGCAGGAGGAATCGCTGCCGACTCTAGACCGATATTTCTGATAAACATGGACACAATAATCCTCAACAAAATCTCAACCAATAAAATACAACACCATACAAAATAAGCATTATAATTGAGATTCATAGGTATGTAGGAAAAGTGCAACAGAAGCAAAACAATCAGTGTAATCCACATCAATAAAACAAAGAACCACATAATCATTTCAACTGATGTAGAAAAGGCATTTGGCAAAATTCAACACACCTTCCTGATAAAAACAGCTTAACAAAATAGGAATATTGGACATTCTTCAACATAACTAGGAGTATCTACACTAAGCCAACTTTACAAAGCCAACATTACTCTCAAAGGAGGAAGATTAAAGGCATTCTCGTGAACAAGGATGTCCTCCATGACCACTCATTCCATCTTGTATTGAAAGTCCTAGCAAATTCCCCTTTCTGAAAAATAGAGACAGTTACTATAGACATGGACATCCCCTGATGAAATACACAGGAATAAAAATGATTACATCTCTGGGAAGAGAAAATATGGAGACACTCAGTACCATCAGCTAGAACAGGGCCAAGGGTCAACTGTGGAACTGATCATCTGTTGCTCATGCTGTTGTTTGTTATTATGTGCTGTTGAGCCACTTTCACTCACAGCAACCCCACATGTACAACAGCTCTGAACTCTGCTCTATCTACAGCCAACCTCATTGTCTTTGACACACCTGCCTCCATTACATCCAGGGTCTTCCTCTCTTGCGCAGTCCCTCCATCCTTTGGAGCATGATGTCCTTCTCCAGGGACTGGTTCCTCCTTGCAACGTTCCCAAAGTATGTCAGACGAATCTTCAAAATTCTTACCACCGAGGAGCAAGCCTCTCAAGGAAGAATTTGTTTGTTCTTCTAGCTGTCCATGGAGTCCATATTCAATACTCTTCTCTAGCACCATAATTCAAAGGCATCGATTCATCTTCCATTATCGTTAGTCATTGTCCTGCTCTCTGATGCACAGCAAGTAATTACAAAACAATTGCTCATATACAAGTTCAAATAAAGGGTGCAGAAAATTAAAACAAGCCCTCCCAAAGCCCAAATCCTACCTACAGTTTATCCTATCTGAATTTGAAAATCATCTCAAGAATAGGTTTGCAGCACTGAACCCTAAACACCAAGGACCAGACAACTTATGGGATGATCATGTACATCACGCTTGAAGAAAGCAAAAGCTCGTTTAAAAGAGAAGAATGCAAAGACCAAATTGGATGTCAGAATAAACTCTGAACCTTGCTCTTAAAGAGAGAGAAGTTAAGGTGAAGGGAAGAAATAGCAAAGTTAAGAGAGCTAAACAGAAGATTTCAGAGGCAGTTTGGGAAGAAAAAGTAATTATTATAATGGAATGTGCAAAGGCCTGGAATTGGACAATTAAAGGGAAAGAATACATTCTGCATTTCCTAAACTGAAAGAAATGAAGGGGGGGGAATAGGTTTTGAGATTCAATACTTAAGGATTGTATGGACAAAATATTGAATAATGCAGGAAGTATCAAAAGAAGATGGAAGGAATTCACAGTCATTGAAAAACAAACACACACATGACAGTGAGTCTTTTGAGGAAGTAGCCTATGATCAAGAACCAATGGTACTAAAGGAAGAAGTCCAAGCTATCTACTGAAGGCACTGGCAAAAAACAAGCCTGAGAAGTTTTTGCAGCGTTATTTGAGATGTTTCAGTAAATAAATGTGCCTCTGGATGTGCTGGTTTGCAAAGATAACTTGGGAGACGGATACCTGACTGACTGAAAAGATCCACATTAGTGTTCACTGGAAAAAAAAAGAGATGATAGGTGATCCACCAGAATGGGGAAATGATTCAACGATGTCTCTAATACCACGTACAAGTAAAATCTTGCTGAAGATTTTTTTAAAGATGACTGGAGCAGTACACATACATGAACTGCAAGCAATCCAAGCTGGATTCAGGAGAGCAGAGTCCTCGTACAGCTGCTCGGCTCCTAATGGGAAGGTTGGAGGTTAAAGTTCACCTAGAAGTATTGAGGAAGGAAGACTTGGTGATCTACACCTGAAAAATCAGTCATTGAACACTCTCCAAAGCACAGTTCTAGTCTGACAAGCACAAGCTCACCATGGTTGGTGTTGCCAACTAGTTAGAAATGTTGTTAGACACCGTCAAATTGCGTATGACTCATAGCAACAGACCTGAACCTTTTCCTGTGCTGTGCCATCCTCACCAACTCTGACTCATAACAACTACTTAAAAGCACTGCCACTGCGGTGATTAATATAAGGAGTCCTGGTGGAGCAATGGTTAAGTATTCAACTGCTAAATCAAAGGTCTGTGGTTCAACTCTACCACCAGCTCCACGGGAGAAAAAAACCTGTTGATTTGCTTCCATAAAGACAACATAACAGCCTAGGAAATCCTATGGGGTAATTCTAGTCTGTCTTAGAAGGTCAATATGAGTTGGGATCAACACAAGGAAGTTAGTTTTACTCTCGTTGTTATTACTATAATAATACACTTTAAAGCAGGAACATTTATATAGAACAAGACCATAAACATTCTGCACATACTTTCCCCCATTTCTGTCCAGAGAGCTGTCCTGCCCTTTTTCTCATTAAACAGAGAGGAATTCCTGCTTCATTTTTTCCACCTCCAAGAAAAATGGACTACAGAATGTCCTTGCATTGAAATGTTTGATTTTGACCTGCTCAGGAGCCATGAGATTCATTAAGTATGTTTCTTTATTCCAGGATTCAAGGTAATGGAGAGCATGTCTGTACTGTTACCATGGATCCATTGACTTATTTAGCTTTCTGTGAGCACATTTTGAACCTCAGTTACCTTGTATTACGATTGTTCTATTATTTACTTAGGAACTGGAGGAGGGGGTTTGTCTGGCCATTAAGAGTCTTGAGTAAAAGCTTGAAAAATCAGTTGGTTTCTATACAAGTTTTGTTTTAGGACTGTAATTTTAATACACTCAGTGGACTCACACTGTTCCATGTCCTGTGATTCTTGTTCTCAATCCTTCTATGCATTCTGCCTTCTGTCCTTTGGCAAATGCTATATTTTTGATTAAATGTAGTTGATTAAGGAGTGAGTGTCTTCCTGATGTTGCTATTCATTTTATAGGCCTGTCTAATGTTTAGGGGAACTCTGATGGCCTAGTGGATGAGGAGTTGTGCTGTCAACCCAAAAGAAAGATGGACAATCTCCTGTCAAGCAATTTCACAGCCTGGGAAAACCCATGGGAAGGCTAGCTCCAACTTGATGGCAATGAATTGAGTTGTTCAAGTCTTTAGTTTATGATTTGGTTGAACATTGAGCCAAGGGGGTAAATTTTATTTCAATCTTGAAGGGTGGTTGAAGGCTATAGTTGAAGGCCTCTATCTGGGCATTGATGAGTAGAAGTGAACGTATTGGGATTGGAAGCCAACATGTACACAATTCATTTGTTATAGCTGTTATGTACTCATGAGTAAGAACCAACCCATGCCTGAACCTTCAGCAGGTTTTCAGAGGCAATAAATTGCAAAGGGGAAGATTGTCCATCTTTTTCCCTTGCATCAACTGATGGATTCGTACCAGATGTGTTCGGGTGAGCAGTGCAACTCATTACCACTAAGCCACAAACACTTCCAACAGTTCATTTGTTGTTATTGCTATTGCTATGTGCCGTCAAGTTGCTGGTGACTCATTATGACCTACGTACAGCAGTGTCTCTGACACACTTATGCCCATTATCCCAGTCACTGAGTCAATCTATCTCATCCAGGTTCTTCCTCTCTTGTGCGGTCCTTCCACCCTCCCAAGTATGATATTTCTCTCCAAGGCCTGGTCCCTCCTTGCAACATGCCCAAAGTATGTCAGGTGGAGCTTCAGAATCTTTGCCTCCAACAGCCTGGTTTCACCCTTTCCAGGATTAACCTGTTTATTTTCCTAGCAGTCCATGGTATCCTCTTCTCCAGCACCACAGCTCAAAGGTGTCAGTTCTCCTATCATTCCTAGTCATTCTCCTGCTTTCTGACACCTAGTAAATAATTGCAAAGACCATGGTCTAGAACAGGTGCACCTTACTCTCCAGACTCACATAGGTGATCTTGAGTACTCGAGAGAGGTCCCTGACAGCAGATATTCCCAATGCAATTGTCTTTTGATTTCCTGGCTACTGGTACTAAGAGAGTTGATTGTGGAGCCAAGCAAACTGACACTATTAACAATCAATCTCTTCACCATCTATCGTGACGCTGTCAATTGGCCCAGTGGTGAGAATCTTTCTTTTATGTTGAACTTTATTCCATATTGAAGATTGCGGTCCTTGACCTGCTGCAGCAAATGCCTCAGTTCCTTCTCAGTTTTGGCAAGCAAGGGTATGTCATCTGCATAGCTTAGGTTGTTGATGAGTCTTCTTCCAATCTCAATGCCACATTACTCCTCATAGAGCCCAGCCTTCCAGATGATCTGTTCCACATACAGATTGAAAAGGTATGGTGATAGAATGTATCCCTGGTGTGTACCTTCCCTGATTTTGAACCTTGAAGTATTTCCTTTCTCTGTTCTGATGACTGCCTCCTGGTCTAAGTTTAGGTGTCTCATAAACACAATCAAGTGTTCTGGGATTCCCATTCTTCACAGAGTTAGCCACATTTTGTTGTAAACCACACAGTCAAGTGCCTTTCCATAGTCACTGAAACACAGATATTTCTTTTGTACTCTCTGCTTTCAGCCAAGATCTATCTAATATTTGCTATGATGTCCCTACTTGATTTGTTGTTGTTATGTGCCGTCGAGTCACTTGCGACTCATAGAGACCCTATGTACAACAGCCCTAAACCCTGCTCTGTCCTGTGCCAATTGCACTGCCTCTGAAACACCCATCCCAATTACCTCAGTCACTGAATCATTTCATCTCATAGTGGGTCTTCCCCTCCTGCACTGTCCCTCCACCCTACCAAGCATGATGTCCCTCTCCAAGG